AGTCATTTAAAGGGATAGTTCGGTATTTTTCACATGAATCTGTATGGCATCCCCATCACCAGTGTCATGCAATCACACTGACTTACCCCTGGCAGCATCCTGTGAGCAGAGTTCTCGTCCAGCTTTGGTCAAGCCGAAAGTAGTCCGGCAGGTTTGCTAGACCCAGCGAAATAAAACGTTTCTCTTCCCAAAACATTATGTGTTCAAAAGAGTGATATTTTTGCATCCCAAAAACGTTGTAGTGGAAAAAGTCACACGTCGTTATCACTTGGTCCTATTTTCTCTCTGTTCGTATCAGTGCGCGCCGTCATTCTGACAGCTAGGGCCTACTAACCTGACAACAGCCAGATGCATGTCTCGCTCCGCCTAGCTCCTAGCTAGGCGGAGGGAGACATGCATCTGGCTGTTGTTGAGCTCGCTGTCTGAATGACGGCGCGCACTGATACGAACAGAGAGAAAATAGGACCAAGTGATAACGACGTGTGACTTTTTCCACTACGTTTTTGGGATGCAAAAATATCGCTCTTTTGAACACATAATGTTTTGGGAAGAGAAACGTTTTATGTCGCTGGGTCTAGCAAACCTGCCGGACTACTTTCGGCTTGACCAAAGCTGGACGAGAACTCTGCTCACAGGATGCTGCCAGGGGTAAGTCAGTGTGATTGCATGACACTGGTGATGGGGATGCCATACAGATTCATGTGAAAAATACCGAACTATCCCTTTAATAGTTCCGTCTGAGATGAATGAAAATAGTTGTTTTAATGGTTATTGAGTCAGATATGTGGCGGTAATGTTTGGTTTATCTAAAGGTTTTATCTGTTACTGATTAAATGAGTTTGGCTGGAATTAAAGGACAGATTCTAATAGATCTGCAGGGGGGGGACTATAAATCTGATAGGAGTTATATTTTTTTATTGCTGTTTTTTATTTTTTGTTCAAAATTAGAGATTGTGCAGATATATTCTTTATACATACATTGTTTAGATTTACTTATATTTTTCTACCCTTTTTATAGAATAGAATAGAAAATTCTTTATTGTCCCACAATGGGGATATTCTGGTGTTTATTGCAGCAAAAGGATTATAGAAAAAATGGTCACACAAATGTGGACCTTAGAAACATTTTTAAGAATAACACAAGTTTAAGGGAAGAGTTAAAATATAAACAATAAAATCCTGTAAAGTGTTTTAAAAATATAAAACTGGAGAATAAATAACCAATATGCAGCTATGGACATTTTTACAGTAATGGATATTTAATAATAGCAGCATCATCATCATCACCATCATCACCATCATCATCATCATCATCATCATCATCATCATCACTTTGGAGGAAGGTTTTGATCAGTCTCCTTCAGGCTGCAGATCATGGCTGTGTGAACGTCTCTCCACTAGATGGCAGCATTAGCAGGTCTGACCCTCAGATAAAGAGCTGCCAGAGCATCTGATCATCATGGCTTTAGAAAGCTGGAGATGGTCATCCTGCGTACCATCAGACCCAGGGTGGGAGGAGCTTCCAGCTCTGATGGACGCAGCGTCTGAGGAGTCCAGGAAGCAGATCAGTTTCCCAGCACCACTTCCTCACTGCTGGATTAGCTCAGATTAGACTAAATGGGGATTAATGGAGATCCATTTAACAGCAGGCATGCAGGCGAAGCTGGTGGAAACAGTTCTGCTGCTCTTTGGAGCGCTGAGAAACTTTTCTGGGCTTTGGAATCAGTTCATTATAAAAGGTGCATTTGATTAATTAGAGTTTAGCCCAGAGACATTTCAATTATTAGCAGCTTCAGTTCTATCACGACCTAATTACTCTGATAAGCCGCTAGCCTCCCACTGACGACTGACCCAGTAATCAGCTGAGAACCATGGATCACTGCTGCTTCTGATGCCAGGAGACGGCGGCAGCGTGTCCTTCCTGCTGGATCATCATCAGCGTCCAGAGAAGCTCTGAGAGAAACCATGTGCTCAGAGACGGAGGCAGCGTCCAGGAGAAGACGTCTGCAGAACTATAGAGATAGATCAGGATAACCTGAGCCACTCTAACTAGAAGCTTTATCAAAAAGGAAAGTTTTAAGCCTAGCCTTAAAAGTAGACAGGGTGTCTGCCTCACGGACTAAAACTGGTAGTTGGTTCCACAGGAGAGGAGCCTGAGAACTAAAAGATCTGCCTCCCATTCTACTTTTAGAAACTCTAGGAACCACTAGTAAACCTGCAGATTGAGAGCGAAGTGCTCTGTTAGGAACATAAGGAACAATCAGATCTCTGATATCAGATGGAGCTTGGCCATTTAAGGCTTTATATGTGAGAAGGAGGATTTTAAATTCTATTCTTGATTTAACAGGAAGCCAATGAAGAGAAGCCAGGATAGGAGAGATATGATCTCTCTTTTTCATTTTCATTAGAACTCTGGCTGCAGCATTTTGGATCAGCTGAAGGCTTTTAACTACAGTTTGTGGACTTCCTGATAGTAAAGAATTACAATAGTCCAGCCTTGAAGTAACAAATGCATGGACTAGTTTCTCAGCATCACCCCTGGACAGGAGATTGCTAATTTTTGCAATGTTCCTCAGATGAAAGAAGGAAATTCTAGAAACCTCTTTGATATGGGATTTAAATGACAGGTCCTGATCAAAAACAACACCAAGATTTTTTACTTTATTATCTGAAATCAGTTTAATCCCATCCAAATGAAGTGACTGGCTAATCAGCTTCTTTTTCAGAGACTCTGGTCCAAAGACTATAACTTCTGTTTTGTCTGCATTCAGAAGCAGAAAGTTGAGAGTCATCCAGGTTTTTATGTCTTCAGACATGCCTGTAATCTATGTAATGGGTTAGCTTCATCTGGATTTATAGACAGATATAGCTGGGTATCATCAGCATAACAGTGGAAATTAATCCCATGCTGTCTAATAACTCTACCAATTGGGAGCATGTATAAAGTAAAGAGAATTGGTCCTAGCACTGATCCCTGTGGTACTCCACAGGTAACCTTTGAGCGTGTTGAAGATCTATCATTAACATGAACAAACTGAATTCGATCAGATAGATAAAATTTAAACCAGTCTAGAGCTGTTCCTTTAATTCCAACAAAATATTCAAGTCTTTCTAAAAGAATATTATGGTCAACTGTATCAAATGCAGCACTAAGATCCAACAGGACGAGCACAGATACAAGTCCATTATCTGAGGCCATGAGAATATCATTAGTGACTTTCACCAGAGCTGTTTCAGTGCTATGATGAGCTCTAAAGCCAGACTGAAACTCTTCAAAAAGTTCATTATGGTGGAAGTGATCGCAAACTTGTTTGGCAACTACTTTCTCAAGAATTTTGGATAAGAAAGGAAGATTGGATATAGGTCTATAATTGACCAAGTCATCTGGGTCAAGAGACGGTTTCTTAAGCAGAGGTTTAATTACAGCAATCTTAAAAGCTTTAGGTACATATCCCTGTAACAGAGATAGATTAATCACATCTAAAATGGAGGAGGAGATCAAAGGGAATACCTCCTTAAATAACCTGGTTGGAACTGGATCTAACATCCAAGTTGAAGGCTTAGATGAAGACAATAATTTTGCTAATTCAGAGAGTTCAACTGGATCAAAGCAGTCTAAACCCGGTTCAGATTCCATGACTACCTCAGGTACAATCGCGGATAGAGGAGTGCTTATGATCTTATTTTTAATAAGATCAATCTTATTTATAAAGAATCCCATAAAATCATTGCTGCTAAGAGCAGGTGGAATGGACGGTTCAACAGAGCTATGGCTCTGGGTGAGTTTGGCAACTGTATTAAAAAGAAATCTAGGATTATTCTTATTCTCCTCTATTAATGAGGAGAAGTATGCTGCTCTTGCTTTACAAAGGGTCCTCTTATACAGCAGTAAACCATTTTTCCAGACTAGGAAGGACTCTCGCAGGCCTGTGGAGCGATATATTCTCTCCAGTTTCCTAGCATTTTGCTTCAAAGTACGCAGCTCTGCATTAAACCAAGGAGCAAGTTTTCTATTTTTAACGGTTTTCATTTTCAAAGGAGCTGCGTTGTCTAAGGCAGTACGCAGAGAACTAGCAACCCCATCAACACGGGGGGCCGCAGAGGTACTGCATGGGGTCGTGATGTTTTAGTTCATTAAATTTTTTTTTTTTATTCTCCCTGCAATTTTTTTCACTAATTGAAATTTATTTAAATCCACATTAAGATGAATTCAACACACTGTAGTAGATAAATGGAGGCAGATGTCTTTCAGTCATAAATGCACACATTCATTCACAACACCTGTCCCATCAACCAGGGATCAGAAATACTTGAATAACCCCAGGGAGAAATTACTTCTGTTATCATCAGTCTGGGGGCCCTTGGCCTGGAAAACATTGAAGGTCGATGCCGTATGTCAGCACAAGATTCAAAGTATGAAGATGAGAATGCGTGGGACTATTCACATTTTGAACAAAGCCAATAGTGTCTAAGATAGCATTAAAGGCTGCTCTTAAGCTATCGCCTTCAATGTCAGCATGGATGTTAAAATCTCCCACTATGATGACCCTGTCAGTATTTAATACCAAATCAGAAAGGAACTCTGAAAACTCATCTAAACATTCAGAGTAAGGACCTGGTGGACGATACAAAGTTACAAAAAGAAGAGGTTTTCTTGCCTTGAAATTTGGATCAGGGAAACTAAGGGTTAAATGTTCAAAAGAGTTGTAGGTATTAACTGCCTTTGAAGCAATCAGTAAGTCAGACTGAAAGATTGTTGCTGCTCCTCCTCATCATGTCTTATTTTTAATAAAATATAGAATAATAATTTAAAAATTGTTTTTTTTTTCATTTTTTTCTCTAATCTCTCCTCCAGACTATCTGTTCCCAGTATAAACTGGTTTTCAGGCCAGTCTAACTATTAATTCATTTTAGTCACTGAAGCCCTTCCCTCTGCTACTTCTTGAGCTTTTACTTTGAAGGTGTCGCACCGGAAGTTGCGGTGTGTATAAAAGCAGCTTTGATCGTCAAAGAGCCGCCAGTGGAGCTCAGTTGCGGGTCGCCCCTGTGCTTCCAGAACCAGAACCGCAGCCCGTCCGGAACTTTGATTCTTTCAATCAGTCGCTGGTTGTTGCTGTTCAGAACCGGAACCAGAACCGAAACCAGAACCAGGGACCTGAGGACGGAGGGCAGAGCTTTCAGTTTGTTCACCTGAACATGGCT